TTAATCCATATTTGCAAATGAACTTTTAGTATGTGCACACATGCACACACCCAGAAATAGCCACAAACGGAATTAGAATTTAATTAGCTAACTGTGGTTTCCTAATATTAGTTTATAAAGAGTGAAGATTTCCAGCTGTGGCCCCTAGGGATTCTGATTTAACTGATAGGGAGTGGGACAGGAAACTCTGCTGTCTGCATAATCCGTAAGGCACCTCAGTGATCCAATACTGCTGCATCCCTGCAAAATAGCAGACCACACTGTAAGGAACCTTGTTCTAGCTCCCGCGATTAATTTATAGTTGTGTAGTAGTAATACTGTTGATGATGACCACAGTTGACACTTAGTGAGTGTTTCTTATGTGCAGACATTAGGCTAAGTATCTTCCATCTTCAGGACCACCCTACCAAGTAGGACTGCCATCACGTCCCCTACAGAGAGGAGGCTTGGGTCACAGAGCAGTGGTATGCCTTGTCCAGCGTCATACAGCCAAGCTTTGAAGCCAGGCAGACTCTCGATCCAGTCTCCTGACAGCCTCCTCACAAGCCATGCTACTTTTATTTATCATAGTTTAATACAAAAAGGCTTTTCTCTACATCTGAAGCAAACTTTGAGGGAATATTGTATCAGTTATCTATTGTTCCTTAACAACCCACCCAGAACACACTGATTTAAATAAAGTGATGATTATTTTACTATATCTCTGAGGCTCTGCCTGTCAACTGAGATCATTAGGGTGGTTCTCACTCGAGGTCCTTTGTGAAGCTGCAGGGAGGTGGCTGGAATCCTCTGAAAGTCGGTCACTGCCATGTCTGGTGCCTCAGCTGTCTGAGGACTGGGGTTCCTTGAGAATCTCCATCTCTGTGTGGTCTCGGGCAGCATGGCAGCCTCAGGGCATTGGACTTCCTACGTGGAGAATCAATGCACCAAAAACGTGTGTTCTTGCGGAGACAAAGCAGGGGGACACGGCACCACCTTGTAGGAGCCAGCCTTGGAGGCCCTGCAGCCTCACTTCTGCCACGCCCTCTCTGTCAGCACAGTCCCCAGGGCCCATCCATATCTAGGGAAGAAAAATAGATTCTACCTCTTCATAGGACTGGAAATACTGTTGTGGCCAAGATTTTGGAAAATACAATCCACCTCAGTCCACCCTCTGAACAAAACTATTTCCATCCCTCTCACATAAAAAATACATTCGCCCCCTCCCCGGGTCTCCCCATTGTCTCCTTCTGTCAGGCGCAAGAGGCAGATCTCAGGGTCAAATCAGATCCAGCTGTGCAGGCTCCCCAGGTAAGGTTCCTGGGAGGGACATCACCTCAAATGTATTTTCTTCCATCTGAAGACTTGCCACCAAAAAGACAACACACCTACCTATTCCCCCCACACAGCCAGCACACACTTGGAGGGACGGGTATTGGATGATTGTTATACATGCTCATGCTCAAAAAAATGAAGTCAGTTGGCACAGCAGTCACTGGTGTGTAGCAGTTCTGAGCAACAGCGGGACACATGTTGTTAGTGCCTTAATGAGGATTTGGTCCTAGTGCCTGGAAATAACGTTCCAAGGCTGGGAGGTCTATGCTCTGTAATCTTGGCTTCACCCTTCAAATAATAATTCTTAATCCATAAGAAGTGATTCAAGTTCGGGGCTGGTAATTTTCTCAGCTTGCTTCCTGCTCATATATACATTTTTTCTAGAGATAGGGTCTCACTCTGTTGTCCAGGCTGGAGTGCAGTTGCTAGTCACAGGCGTGATCATAGCACACTGCAACCTTGAGCTCCTAGCCTCAAGTGATCCTCCTGCTCAGCCTCTCAGGTAGCTGGAACTACAGGCATATGCCACCATACACAGCCAAAATGTTAAGAGACCAAAGTCTCTTTATTTTGTATTGCCTCTGCTCCTTTCAGTGTAAACTGATACAATTCCTTTAAAAGCTTTGTGAGTTTCTTGTGAATCAATTTATAATCCACTCTATTAGTCAAAAGCCTCATCCACAGATTTCTCTTTTGGGGCTCTTTGCAATATTTCTGTGGGGCAATGCCATTGATATTCTTAGAAGACCTGTGGTTTCGCTTCTTCTAAAAGACCTTCGAAGCACCTCCTTGAATCTTTCTGAGTTCTTAATAAAGGGTCTCAGTGGCATTTGCTTGGCTTCATCTTTAAATCATGTTTTCCTGAAAATGCCTTGAATTTTATCTCTGTTTAGAAGTCATTTCTTAATGTTAGAATCATTTGCCATCTCAAGAGCCTGGCAATGAGAACTGTTTTATTTTCAAACCCAGGAATTCCTCGCTCTATTATAGTTAATAGTTCTTTTTTCACATTATCTCTTTTTTCTCATGCTTTATACTGGGAAGCTAGAAGCATCCAGGAGGCAACTTTAACACTGCCTGAAAATCTCCTTGGCTAGATCACCCAGTTCATTTCCTGTTATCTTTATTCCACATTGGTGCATAATAGATAGTATTGCTAACTGTCTACTATGACCAGAAAGTATTAATATCACATTTCCTCTGGCTTCCAGCATCTTCCTCACTTTCCTTTAAACCTCACCAGGACCCTTCTCCAGGGCCTCCAAGCTTCTGCTAACAGTCTCTTCAAGGTTCCTCCAACTTCTCAAAGCAACTTTCACATTTTTAGTGCTTTTTTTCATAGCAGCAGTCCATTTCCAGGTACCGATATTTGTATGAGTTGTCTATTGTTATGTAACAGACCTCTCCAAAATTCAATAGCTTAGGATCCCAGTGAAAATTTTATTATTATCTCTCATGGTTCTAGTGTTTGGCTGAGCTCAGTTAAGCTGTTCTCACATAGGCTGTCTCCCAGCTGTAGTCAGACAGTGGCTGGGGCTGGCTAGAATCATCGGAAGACACAGTTAATTACATTTCTGGTGTCTGGGATGGGAAAACCCGGACAGCTGGGGCCAGAGCAGATGGGGTCCTCTGGCATCTCCCTCACCTCCATGTGGCCTCTCCACATGTTCCCAACAACACGGCTGCTTCAGGGCATACAGACTTCTTACACGGAATCGAGGCTACCAAGACATGTGTCCCAAGACAGTGGAAGCCAGACAGAAGCTGTATTGCCAATGGCCCAGCCTCAGAAGGCAGGCAACATCATCTTCTAATCATTTTATTCACTGGGGTAGCCACAGAGACACTCCCGTGTTTAAGATTCTGGAAGAACATGTGGGATTGAAAATATTATTGAAGACAGCTTTGGAAAATACAATCTGTCACAAATCCTTTAAATTATTCATATCTTCAGAGCAACTCTATAATACTAATATTAAAATGGGGTCATTCATTCACTTTCTAGGAGAAGCTTAAGAGTTGCTATGTTTTAACACATTGAAAGTCATTGGAATGTTAGAGAATTGGACATTTTGGGTATTTTCTGTTCTTAAAAGTTGGCTGCTTTGGGGAGCCCTGTATAATACTGACTTACAAAGATGTCCATTGAGTTAGAAAATTAACTTTGTTCTTTTCCATTTACATTTGGATAATTCCCATTGTTTTCCTGGTTATAGTGTGCCAACAGCTGAGCTAAGCGCTTTCCATGCAATATCTATTTTATTCCTTTGAGATAATTACTAATATCACTATTTTATGTACAATAACACTAAGGCTTAGAGAGGGTTGCCCAAGAACTTTTTAAAAATTATGATTTGCATCACTACCACTCCCAACACAAACACACACACGATTCTATGCCCCTCACGCTGGTCTGTTTTTTCTCATCTTCATAGCCTGTGTTATGTGCCAACACACTATAGAATTCACTCATTTGTTGTATTTCCTTTTTTTGTTGTCTGCTCCCACTAGAGTATAGGAAGGCAGAGAGCTTTTTCTCCTTATTCAGTATTTATCTCCATAAATACTGTGTTTAATGCATATGACTGAATGATTGAATGAATAAAAGGTCATGCTGAGATTTGATCCTAAATCTATCTGATTCCAAAGTCTTTAACGGTTATATTTTATTGTCTACCCAAAACTGGATACAGAGACTGCTGTCATATTGTGCAGTCACAGTGAGAGAGAAATATAGCTGCCTAAAACAACCGGGAACTCAACGGAATTAGATGTGCTTATAATCAAGAATTCCTACAAATTAGTAAAATAATTCAAGATTTTTGAGTTTTGATATTTCAGTGAAACTTTATGCTTTCTAAAACTGACATCTGTTAGAGAAATTTATTAAAACATTATTATAATTTATAGTAAATTTTAGAATTTCTTTATTCGACTTAACTTTTAATAAATGTTTCAGACTCATATTTAAGTGGTTTTGTTCTGCCTCTTCCAAAATTAGCTCTTCTGATAATATTAGGCCTATTCATTTTTTTCTGAATATTGCCTCTTTTTTCAACTTGAGAAATTTCCACTTAAGCAATTTTTTCAATTAATAAGTTCGTACTGAAATGTTAGACCCTTGATTTCCCTTTTACATATGTGTCTCTGTTACGGATTCAGATATACTGATCGATGGTAAAACCTTTCCTTGGCAACACTGTAACAAAGTTCTTTTTTTTTTTAATCTCGTCATCCATGTTAAGTGTTTTGTTGGGTTTTGTTTTGCCCCTTTATATCATTTAAATAATCGAGCTTACTCATTTTCTACAGGAAGCTTCTGCATGCCGCCTGCTAGCTATAAGTTGCTTGCTCTCCCGGGTTTCTGTCTTCCATCTCTAAATAACAAGCCCCAGTTCCACCAATCCTTCCTTCGCACATGTATCGGGTCCTAGGGATCCAAGCGTAGGCATGTCCCCCGTCTGGTCTCCGTAGCGGGCTGGCGGTCCGCGTTCCACTTGACATCTTCCTCCTGGGGGAGTTGGGGGGAGTCGTCCTCCAGCTCTACGATGAGATGCCACCTCTCTCCTCGGTGGTCCCGGGAGGGTCAGGTTTGGCGGGGCCCGGCCGGAGAGGGGTGCTTGCCTGGGCGCCCCCCGCAGCCTGAGGGTCCCCCTCACGCCCCACGTTCCTCTCTCCCCTTGCAGCTCTGACCCGGCCCAGGCCGCACAGCGATGACTACAGCACCATGAAGAAGATTCCTCCTCGAAAGCCCAAGCGCAGCCCGGACACCAAGCTTAGCGGCTCCTATGAGGAAATCCCGGGCCCCGCGGCTGTGCAGGGGGCCTCCCTGGCCGTCGGCACTGCCCGGCGCGCCCCGCACCCTGCCACACAGCAGGCGGACGACGACGAGGGCGAGCCGGTGTACATCGAGATGGTGGGCCACGCGGGGCGGCCCGGCGGCCCCGAGCCCGACAGCCCCGACCAGGGCGAGGCGGTGTACGAGGAGATGAAGTTCTTCCCGCCCGAGGACTGCGGCGGCCGGGGCACCGTCTGCTGCGCGTCCGCGTCGCCGCCCCTGTGGCCCGAGAGGCGGAGACCCGCGCCCTTCGAGGACGTGGCGCCAAGCGGCCCGGCCGCTGGGCTCCCCGGGGACGCGTGCGACATCCCGGCGCCCTTCCCCAACCTGCTGCCGCACCGGCCACCGCTGCTGGTGTTCCCCCCGACGCCCGCCACCTGCTCCCCGGCCTCAGACGAGTCGCCTCTGACACCCCTGGAGGTGAAGAAGTTGCCGGTCCTGGAGACCAACCTCAAATACCCTGTTCAGCCCGAGGGCTCGAGCCCCTTGTCTCCGCAGTACTCCAAAAACCCAGAGGGGGACAGTGGCAGGCCCGCGTCCCCCGGCTTGAGGACATTTAATGTGCCCAGCAGAATCTCCCCACCGCCCACGCCCACGCCCACTCCTCCGCCTCCTCCTCCTCCTCCTCCCCCTCCTCCTGGGCCACCTCCTGCTTCCTACCTGCTGTCCACGCATTTCGCGTTCCCGCCAGAGACGGTTGTGGTTCATACAGGAAAAGCAATGGCAAATTCAGATTTGTCTAAAATCCATCAAAAGCCAAACTCTGCCCCAGTGGGTGGTCCATGCAGCACCTTCTCCAAGATCCCTTACTCCCCGGTGAAGGCCGCCAGGAAGGCGAGCTCCAACTCCTCCTCCCCGGCGCCCTACAGCCCTCCCAACTCCAGGCCTCTCACCAGCCCCCTCGACGAGCTAACCAGCCTCTTCAATTCTGGAAGGAGCGTACTTCGGAAATCTGCAGCGGGAAGAAAAATTAGGGAAGCTGAAGGTAAGTGGAGTAAAAATGTATCTCCCTTTTGCGTGTATGCATGTGCATGTACATATTTGTATACATGAAGTCAAATATATATATATATGATAATTTAAAAGTTTGAGATGATTGCAGTGGTCATTCAGAACAGATACCAACTTTTAAAAATGTTATGCAGCCAGTGTGGCCAAGGAGGTGGGAATTAATATTTCCATGTTGCAGAATAAGACATTAAAGGCTCATGATATAGAAATGCTTAGTGCTAAAATTGGATTTAATAAATTATAACTTGATAAATATTATACATAGCAAGGCTAAATTTAATCTACTGATTTTTTCCTAATAGTACTTCCTGATCACATGAAAATGGTACTTTTTGTGACATTATATTGCTGATTTCCATTTGATTTACAGCTCCCCATTAACCTTCCAGTATTCTATTTGCCATCCCTCTCACTCTATCTGGTGGCATCTGGGGTGATTACCTACTCAGTTAGTACCTTACGCTTGATACCACTCACCTGTACATGGTTTTGAATGAATTGTTCTTCTGTGCATATGCTACCCAAGGAACTTTCTAACTCAGTTCTTTTATATCTGTGTTTTCTCATGGAGCAACTCAGCCCATGGCATGGTTTGTGAGTGGCAGTCCACTCAAGTGAGCTTAGGGGTATGCTGTTGCAGCCAGAGGATGTTGCCTGCATTAAAAAGTATTTATTTTATGTTCCTATAAAAGCAGACTGTAGCTATGGAAAAAAAAAAAACAACTGATTAAGACCTTTTTGCTAATCTCTTTTAATTAGCTAACCACATGACACTTCATCCAGATAAGGTTGACTTTGTGCCGAACATACTGCTTTTGCATAGATTTTCTTAATAATCACAAAAAAGTAGTCATTTTCCAAAAAATGTTAAGGCTTTTATACAAAACCAAAATATGTTTCTAATGTGTCTATATTTTGGGGAAGAGATACATTAATGTAAAGATTCTTCTTGTTAAGGAGAATTATAACCAGTCCCTTAATGCCATGGCACCATTAGATCCCCTACTTCCTACCAAGGTAGACTGCAACTGTTAACATCCTTACTTTGTAGGCAGGAAACTTCAGGGTGGAGAGGTTAAATATCTTCCTTAGGGTCAAGTGGTAGGATTGGAAATAAGATTTTGATCTATGGTATAGTAACATTTACACATGCATTAACCTGCTCCTTCTCCAGCAGAAAATATATAAACATGTTAGCTTTCATTATTTGACTAAGAAACTTACTTCAGATACAACAACTAGAGAATCTAGAAAGCAATCTGAACAAAAGAAAAGTAGGTCAAGGCTATGAATCCTCAGCAAATGAATGAATAACCTACTCCCTATTTATTCTTCAGACAAATAAGCTAATTGTTTGTTTAGCTAACAATTTCTTCTTAGTTATAGGCCATTAATAAATGAAATTGTACTTGTAAATAGCAGAATGTTTGAATTTGACAATTTGTGTTTCAGTCTAAGAAACAGAATGGATAAGAGAAAATCATTAAATGAACAAATTAATATTTGCTTTTTGAACCTAAAGTTTATTAAAACCTCATAAACCTCATTTTACTATAGATTGGAATTGGGTGAATTCTTCTAGGCTCTATTCAAGGAAATAAAGTTAATGAATTTCTAGACAGTCCTCATCATTTGGAAATCTCAAAGTCTGGGACTCAGAGGATAGTGAGAATTGCGCTGAGGCTGCCAGGCATGGTGTGCAAATTTGCTAATTATATTTCGCTATGGTTCCATTAACCAGTATTTGGGAACACATATCAAAATCTTAAGTGCAATATTGTTAGTTCAAGTCCAAAATTATAAGACATGTATTTTTTTACTGTGGACTTTTACAAAATACTTTTTTGTTTGAAAAGATTTGATTGAGCCACTTATGACCTTCTCATAAATACATGAATTGGCAAGTTCTGCCACCAGCACACAGTAGCTAAAATAAGAGAAAACTTAGCAATATGGGACGAGGTCATCCCCACACACCAGATTATGGGAGTTCCAAATACACAGTTGAGAATTGTGTAATACTTTATGGTCTGTGATGAAGGAAAAAAGTTGACAAGTTTGCATGGTATGTTCTCATGGGATAGTACAGGTCATTCTTTCAGAATGTAAGAGGTTAAAGATAAGATATGGAAAGAAAAACATTCAGTGCTGGTGCTAAGCACTGGAGCTGCTTACATGATTACTAAGGCTTACACAATGTGATCCTGAGGTCAGTAATCCATTTTCTTCTGAATGAAATGAATGGCTGTAATTCATGATTTACTCTAGTCTTGGGATTTCTTTCCTTTAAAGTTTTAAATCTTCTACTTTACCCTCTTTATATTTAAAGACATTTTTATTTTCACCTGAAATAGCTTTCTTACCAAATAATACAGTGTATGGCTAATTTACCCTCAAAGAACCTAAATTGATTACAGTTCATTTTTTGTACAATTTTGATAGGGGGAAATTGGTCTGCAAATTTTGCAGAAGGGTTCCAAGTGTTCCCCTTGCCTCTTTGGAACAGTGACCTTGAGGAGATTAAATTGCCTATTAATTTCCTGCTGTAGGTGTTTCCAGTTAAAATACAATGTACTATAATGCACAGTGAGTTGTGTATAGAAATCGAGGTCTTTTGTGTGTAATTCTACTCCATTACTACCCTCAAAACAATTTGCTTTCTGTGGATTCTTAAATATGCAATTTGAGGAATACAAAAATCACTCAAATTCTCAGAGTCAAGGACACACATACAGAAAATATATGATTGTGCAGAAAGCTATGACTGCAATCTGAGAAGAACAGTATTGGCAGCAAGGAGTTTTGTTTACTGTGTTCTAGGCATGGTCTGAATAACCTACTTAATTCTCACAAGACTACTAGGTATCTGCTACTCTTATCCCCATTTTACAGGTGGGAAAACTGAGGCACAGAGAGATTGATCAACTTGCTCAAAGTTGCTCTGCTCATGAGAGAAATAACATAACTTTAATACACTAGTTCCTTCTCTTAACTACCTATGCAATGCTGCCTCGGATAGCAGAGGGAAAACAGCTGGAGGACAAGGGTTTAAAAAATTAATACTTGCTTACTGAGAAGCAAAAAGTAAGAATCAGAGTTCGGATGGAGAGAACTGTCCCATAAACTCAAGAATGCCAAACACGTACTTTATAGATTGTTAGTATGTATACAGTTCTGTAATACAGTATCCAGGCCGCTTGGCCCTTAAAATTAAGATCGACTAAATGTTTGTTTATGCCTTTCTAGATATAAAGATCCCATTAATTCACAAAAAATTTCATCTGATATTATAATAAGACTAATATTATTATGTTAATTATTTCTAGTTGCTTGATTAAAAAAACATGAGCTCTAATTTTAATGGTGAATGGGGCGAGTCATTGGCTTGTTCCGGCCACTAGGGCGCTCCATCGCTCTGAACGGCATCTCAGTGTCTGGTTGAGTCTATCCAGCATAACATGAAATAACATGAGCATGCTATTCTCCACTCACTGAAAAAGATCAAGATGATAGGGTATTGACAAAGATGTGGTACATCTCAGAAATCTGGGGAAGAATGCGGAAGAGAGCCGGGCTGAATTAAGGAAAAATCTGAGTCATATGATACTTTTTTAAAAATTTGGTTTCATTACTCTTCTGATACTAACCTTAGCTTATAAATTATTAATAGGTACTTAAAAATAATGTCAGCAAAAAATTATAATGTACACTATTTCTTTACATATATTGGGTATTTATTGAATAGCTTTTTTGTTGTAAAATTACCTAAAAAAGAGCATTTTGACATATAAATCTATTTGTTAGTTCTAGCCCTTGTGGCATTTTTACTTAATAAGAACAACTTAAGCCAAATGGAAATTACTGTTCATTTAAACTATTTTTTCGATTACATAAACATCCTGAACAAGAATATTTTGAGTTTGGAAGTCAAGAGTGTTATGTAAACAAATTTTTACAATAAATAAAAGATATTTTTATTCCATAGGATCATTTGTTTAAAAAAGAATTTTTTTTGTGTGAAATTTGCTTTGTGGAAGTTTTCAAACATACACAAAAGTAGAGAAAGTAGGTTAATGAACTCTCTTTGAGGCCAATCCTATTTCCTCTCTCCTCCTGTCCGGTTCCCTCCTCTAGCACTGGATTATTGTGAAGTGCATCCCAATGTCAAATGATTTCATTAATACATATTTATAAATGTTTTATCTAGATTTTCTTTATGGGGAAAAAAGATTTATTCTTGTCAGTCAGATTAGTACAGACTAGTCAATCCATTTATTTCAGTCTTCGCCAACATGAGACTGCTATTCTTGACAAGAGACCTGACTCTAGAAACCATGGCATCATTTTTCATGATAGAAACAGGAATATTCTCAAGGGGTTAGCGTTCCACCAAAACAACGTCACCTCCTAGTTCTTCCATTGTGGCTTCAGTGACAGCCCTTGGCATGAACACCTGGTGCAGGCAACCTTTTCTACCATAAAAAAATAAAAAGTGAATTTCTAGATATTATATCCAAATAGAACTAACTATGAATGATCAAAGATCACAAAGACATACAATAGCGTCTTAAGTCAATATTTTATGAGGTTTAGATGCTTCCAGGCCAAATTAAGTGCAGTTCCATACACATTGTTTGGGAATAAGAAGCAGAATGCTTTAGAATGACTGAAATACCACAGAATTACTAACAGAAATTAGTGGTGCCCAAGGACAGTGTGTGTGAGTGGCCATCCTCTGCTCCTAATGTTTGAAACAGAAGTTTCAACATTATCGTCATTTAATCTCTGACACATTCGAATGAGATTGCAGCATGAGAAATGAGTCTGCCTTATGCAAATCCGGACATCCCATGATGGGATGCTGAGCTGAACATCCCACAGGCTTCTTGCCCATATGCAGATCTCATAGTACTTTACCCTGTCCAAAACAGTTAATCTTTTTTACTCCCCTAGTGATTTCTCTCCACGGTGATT